TTATAGAACAGCATCACAGGTGAGAGGGGCTTCAAACACTGTAGCTACAGAAGCCACTGCTTCTGTTATACCACAGCAGCCTTGTCAGATAGCTTCAGTGCAAGATCATTAAGGTACCTGCTGTTGCTGCACTAGCTAGCTATGTGTGAACTGTGTCCGAAGTTAGGGGTTTCACTTCATGAAGGCTTTATACAATGGTGAAAGCTGGAAGCATCCTTTGAAATCCAACTTGCTTCTTACTGAGGGCATCAACCAATCTGAAACAAAAGGCAGGTGGTGTACGCACCTTCAGGAGCAACACAATCACCTCCGCTGGGTCAGCAAAATCAATCTATCTGGAAAAAAAAGAGCACGCAAGTGATGCCAAAGTAGCTTACATACCATCATAAAGTATCTATGGCCATGTGTAAATCTAAGCTATTTATTCACCAGTCAAAGTGAGAAATGTAAGTTTATAATGTTTAACCTCTGATTTTCTTTACATTTAAGATCAGCAAACAATCCAAGCAATGGCCAGTTTTAAGCTCAAACTAACAGGTGCAGAGGAGATAAACACCTCAGCGTCAGACCCTGTGATTTGTCTCAGAATCCGACAGCTGATCGAAGTGATCAGGATTCTCATGGACTTCGCTGCCATGCTCGTTTTCAGGCTCTGCGTCCTCATCGTTGCTCTCTGCGCTGTAATCTATCGCCTCCAGAATGGACGGCTCATCTTCCTCCATCACATAGGTCGTGGGGCAGCTAATGGGTAACAACATAAACAAACATTATCACAGGCGCCACTGTAAGTTCATAATGTGAATAGACAGCTAAAGGTAAAACTCTGCATCTATATCATGTCTACCTTAGATGACTAGAAAAGCATCACGATGCCTAGAGAGGGTTTAAATCAGAAAATATGTTTCTGCATGCGTTATTTTGAGAAACCATCTACTGTATAGCATAGAACTGTCATGTAACGGTCACTATATGAAAGTAATAGCTCCGATTTCACAGATTTCAGAGGAAAACACGCAAGAAAATGCATATGTAATGGACGTCATGGTCTTTAATAATGTACTGTTGAGAAACAGATTTCAAAACACAACTCGAAATATGGTATGGGGCATTCATTCAAAATGTATGAATATTAAAATGGCAGTTTATTTGGATGCATATGATCTTTGCTTCGTGTGTTTAGTTGGGGGGAAAGGACAAACAACAACTCTGACAGGGAGCCTGTGAACTTACAGCACAACCTGCCATTATGCTCTAAATCCAAAGTGCTAAAGTTGGCAGCTGGAGTAGCTCTAAACTCTCTGAGCTCTATTTCAGCATTTACACATTGTCTGATCAATCGGAATACATTGTCAGAACTCCTAAAGTCATCGAGTAGCTGGAAGCAGAATAGCTGACATTTTTGTTATATAAATTACTTAAAACAATGAATCAATTTTCTGTCATTTTACTAATTAAGTAATCGTTTCAATTTTCATTAATAGCAAAACAAAATGATCTGAAATAAAACAGACACTGTAGTTCAAAACTTCCCAACAACACACACCAAATATACTGTATTATATTGCACAGTACATATTAAAATTTTATTTTAAAATCACAACAAAACTGAGGCGGCTAACAAACTTGTTTTTGTGTGCTCTGACTGGTGAGGTTGCTTTTTTCCCTGTGGGTCTTAATGGTTAAATGGTTGCTGGTTCTTTGAGGTTTTAGTGGCTTTAGTGGGTTTTTAATGGTGTTAATGGTCTGAAATGTGATCCCGGGGAGAGAGTCGATCAGGGGGCTCAGACAAAGATCTCCCACCAACCTCACCAGTGTGTGAGTGCAAGAGAAATCTTACATCAGTATATGTGCAGTAAATGTATGTGTATGTGTGTACTGATGTTGATGGACAGCATGTTGTCCAAACTGAAAATGGGAGTTGTGAATCATATGCCATTATTGAAATACCAAACCCAATCTCTCCTTTTTATTTAGGGTACATTTTCTATACCCATCAACTGCAGTCATCATCATATATAGTGCAGTCCAGATCCATATATGTACAGTACATTAATGCCCCAATTAGCTTCACTCACATACAGATAAACCTCCACATCTCCAGACCACATTGCTCTCTGGTTTACGCTAACACAAACACACCCGTGCCCGTATCCACCCTTTTACGCAGCCTTTCAATGGCCAAGATATCATTGCTACGATGACCTATTAAATGGTAAGTGGTGCCATACCAAGGCCCACGCATTAAACCATAAACCAGAGATGAGAGCAACCGATCCCAAAGGACACTCACGCAAACACGCACACAAGCACCAGAACACTTTTGGAGTCCCTTAATGATCAGACACATAAATAATGAATGAGTGTATCAAGATGAGAGTAGAGTATATCACTAAAAGAGAGACTGGGAGACAGAGAAAGAGACGTGAGCATTAAGTGGTTTTGAGGAAAAAGCCAAATCAACTGTTTTAACACTTCTTTGGATGAGAGAATGCTGACAAAAAAACAAACAACAAAAAAAAAAAACCTTAGTGACCACAGCTTGGGTTTGATTATTTGTGGTGTTAAACTGAAGTACAATCTAACCTGAGTGGACCTAATATTACTAAACGGGAAGTTTAAATAGAGGTGATTAGACACTGTATAAAGCAGTGCGGTGACTTTTCAGGATGAGGAAGAGTAGTGTGGCTCACTGACGTCATTTCTTACAGTATGGATGAAGACAAAAACTTCAGTGCAACTTGTGTTTTTGAAGAAGTTTCTCTTTAAACTTGGATGACGACTTTCCTCCTCTTCCTTATTTCTTAACTGTTGTGCTCTGTTTTGGATCCTCTTAGATCATCAATAAGGGTTTTTCTGATTAAAAATAGTTGGTTGATTTTGCAAACTTTCTTACCCGTTTTAAAATTAGAGCACCAGTGACCATAAATAAGAATATAAAATTCAAGTTAGTTAGATTTTCTAAGAGTTTTTTTATATTGTACCATGGGAATAGCAATATCACAAAAAAAAAGACAAGGAGGAGAAAGTGACTAATGAATTCATTCTCTTACATGAAGCAAATATGATGTGATGACTTATAAACAACGTTGGGATACGGTACACTCTACTGGTTTTGTCTTGCAGCTGAATTATGACCACATTCAGCGCTGTCATCTACTGAATGCATAGCACTGAAATGGATGAAGACCTGCTCTGACACTGATCACTTTAACATACATCTTGCTAATATATTCCAACTGCAAGCGACTGTGTAGGAAGGCAGTGTATAGTTTGCATGCTCCATGGGGATTTACAGTAATCCACACGATCTTGTGGGTGATTTATGTTCTATGTTACAAAAATTAATGAGCTTGCTGACAACGATTTGTATGCAATCCCCCCTTTCACTCCAGAGTTTTCATTATATTCATCACACGTTTGTTTCTAGATCCTCAGAGGTGGAGCCAGCGTGACAATCACACCGTTGAGTATTAGTGCCAACAAGGATGGTGTCTGGCAGTAATGAGAGTGTTTTGTGCAGATAACGTGAAAAAAAAAGTCAAAAACAATTCTGTTGTTTTTCCAGGTAGACTTTTTGGCAACAGAAAACATTTTTGAAATCTAACATCTTGGGCAGGTTACATGAGGATAACAACACTGTCTTCTTGTTTCTAACAGATCAGAGGCTATCCCTCCCTCTGTGTATAGTTTATTTGTGCACTTTGTTGTGAATCTCTGTCTCTCTAAATGGCTGCACAGCATCTGTATGCACCTGAATAAACTGCGTGTTGTAGTATATGTGCGACTTCTCAACATGCTACACATGACTTACATGACTACTTTAGACTGTGTCCCAGTGATGTCACTCTCCAAATCCAGCAGGTGTTGGTGGTTATGGAGCCCTGTCAGCCTCTTTAGCCTCAGCAGACCCAAACAGAACTGAGCTCCCATCTCCTCCAGCTCTCTGGTGCCAATCTGAAGACCCTGGAGAGAACACGCATATACACATCAGATGCACATCAGAGAGAACTAAAATACAAATATTGTCCTATTGCACATACATATATTTTCAAAAAATAATTTCAACAGTTAAACAGAAATGAATGTGAAATAGCTGTGTTTATTTATTTTTTTAACAGCTGGTCTGGAGCCTGAGGATGAAGCCATTGTCCATCTTCAAACACTAATTCACAGTGCTGGAAGGTCCTTGCTTTAATAGAGAAACATGATAATGTATGTCATTAACATATCTCACACATTTCAACACAAACACACACCTACAAAATCTGCACAGCACTGTTCAATCACACAAGTAAATGAGTATTCATGCAAGGACACACACCCAGAGCTAACTCCCCCAACTCAACCAAAAAAAAAAAAAAAAAAATGCAACTCACGCACGTCAACAGAGCTACTTTATCAGTACATCCAAACTTGGCCTGAGTACAGAGGTATGCAGCCACAACTCTGCAGACATTAGTTCCTGCACATCTGGACAAATGCTTTCACACAGAGCAGTGGGGGTACTAATCAAAGCCAAAATAGCACCCAAAGACTGCCTCTGGATATGTTAGATGTTGACACTGGCAGAATCCAGAAGGAAGGAAATCAGCTGGGATGGAAAGAACAAGACAGAGAGAGAGAGAGAGAGAGAGAGAGAGAGAGAGAGAGGGGGAGAGGGAGAGAGAGGGAGAGGGAGAAAGGGCAATAAAGGGGGTAACTGGGCCAAAAGAAAGGATGCGAAAAGATCCAGGCAAAGCAAAGAGAGAAGAAAAAAAAAGACTGCAGTGCCACCTGCTGGACACAGAGATTTAGAGGGGCACCTCCCTCATGTGCAGGTGCACGAAACAAAGACAAAATAAAAACACCTGTACAATGCAATAAAATCAAACACATCAGCCTTTAATGTTATGTTTTGGTTAAAATTTTGCCACCAAGGAAACAGCTCTGGCTTATTTGTCCTCTTTCCCAAACTATGGCTCATTAATTATCATATATGTAAACAAAACATCCTAGACACAATAATAAAAGCTTTACATTAGAAACATCACAAATGCAGTATTTAAATATGAAGTTATTGTAATCAACTGCATCACAGTCGGCAGGTCTTTAAAAAGACACACCCTTACCTTATATTTGCCCTGGTCACATCCACAGAGCGTACTCTCCATGGTATAGCTGCGCTGTATTCCTATCTCTCTCCATACAACAACGCGGGCGGTCGACTCTTTGGAGCGCTCCACAACAAAACTACAGCTAGCCATGCTGAAGACTGGAGCAATCTGAGAGAGGATCTTAGGAAGCGCCTGAAGAAAACAGAAAACCAGCTTCTTTGTTAGTATTCTGCTCAGTGGAAAAATCTATTTTTTGCACTCTCAAATGCAGAGTGGAACAACAAACTGGCCACTGAATATACAGATCAGGGATTTAAAGTTAACAAAAGAAGGGTATTTCAATTCATACACTACACAGGAAAGATGGTGCTAATGGAAATATAAAGGTGATTAGACTGTTTAACATTCACTGATTGAAAACAGGGGGCAACTGAAAGAGAGAGGGCTAGCCTAAACTTTTGTACATGTTACAGGTATACTTTATGTGTGTGCATGCACCCTGTATCCAAGGTCTTCATGTAGATCACTGGATGCAGCACAGATATTGGTCTGCCAGACTGTCTCCTTCACACTGCAGCCATACATGAACACATTCTTCTTTCTGGAATGACCATGGTAGTCGCAGAAAACCTGTACATTCATGTACAAACAGAGACGGAGACACACACAGATAGAGAGACATATATACACAAAAAGGAAGTAGAAGGGGAAAAGGGCCAAGTTTAGAAGCTATATGGCAGATTTTTCACTGATTCCAAATGTAACTTCTCTCCTTTTCCAAACTAGTTTACTCAAGTGGTTAAAAAGGCAATAAAAACCTTATGTTAATAGAATACATCCATAATAATAATAAATCCAGAATATCTAACTGGTTCACACACAGAATAGCAAACAGGATTGCAGAGACTGTTGTCTATGGTAGCTTAAGTAAAACTAGTGTGGTGAATTTCTGTTGCGAAATGTAGGTAACATGCAGCCAAACAAAAAGTGCAGCAGAAATAGCACCACCATAAACAAGCAGTTAGAAAATTCTCTTTGTACTTTGCAAACGAAAGATGACGCAGCAAAGTGCAAAATGCCACAAAATCATTTAAGTCCTGTTTATTAGAGGTCATACCAGTGGAGCCCTTTGTATGTGAGCAAGGTACTGCAGCAGGCTCTTAGTATGGTAGATGGTGGGGTGGAGCTCAGGACTGGGGTTCTGCCACTGGCGATTCAAATCCTCTCCGCTCAGAGAACAGCGATGACTACAGCAGACAGGAGATAAAAGAAGGAGACAGAGTGGAGGAGAACAGAGCAACAGCTAAAGAGTCCTTCAAAACATGATTTTGTGTGTTAATATGCATTTGGTTATGACCATCTTGCAGGTCCAAGGTTAGCAGATGTGTAAGCTGTGTGCTGTGAAGGTGTGTTAATTTCTTCCCATCTCTACACTGTTTTTACTTACTTCCCATTTACAACTCCATCAGGGTTGAGCATGGGGACTATCTTGAAGATGTAGGACTCTCTCAGGCTGGCTGCCAGTGGGCTGGTGCCCATCAGGAACTCCAGCGTGCCCTTCATTACCCAGCTTGCGTTGGTCTCTCCAGGGTGCACTCTGGCTGATAGGAAGATCAATGGACGATTCCCTGAAGAGGGAGAAAGAGGGGTAGCATAGCACAAACACAAGCAGAGGAAGATGGAATTAGAAAAAAAAGTTCAATTTAAAGTTTTCACAGCTGAGGAACAGCATCAGTGCACTACAGTGGACTGCAAACCTACTGACATACCCTCATACCCCAGGGCTTTTCTCATGTAGTCACCCCAATGTTCTTGCAAGGTCCACTTACTAACTCTTTGACCTGCAAGAGCTCAGTTTGCTGAAGGAGTCGATGCTAAACTTGGATTATTTTGTTACACTGTTCCCCAAAGTCAAGAATTCATTTTTATGTTGTAAATAACAAATGACATTTGTCAGTACGGTTTGACTTGGGTGACAGCAGCCATTAAATGTTTACATATTATAGCTAATACCAGCTGGTATCTGAATATCTGGCAAAAACATATTTGAGCCAGTTTGCAAGCTGATGTGCTCATAATTCTGTTCTGGGACAAATGGATAGCAACTGTAAAACAATTAAAACGTATCTAGCAGTCAAAACACTCTGTGTACTGTTGTCCAGATCTCAATTTACATTTGAAAGTAGACTACATTGTTCCCTTATTGCCCTGTCTAGCTGATTGAGATTAGTTGCACCATGACTGGTGAAGCCACATAGGTTTTCCAGTTTTCCAGGCTATGTGACAGGCCTGAGATTGTTCTGCTAAATTATAAGAGTGATGGTGAGCAAATATAAAGATGTGTGCACCCACACCTAGATTGATTTACTTACTGAACTGACAGATGTGATCAGTGGAGTTGGACTCCGGCATGGCAGTGATGGTGAGAAGGGGACAGGCGTTTCCCCCCAGGGTTTCACACAGAACGTCCTGTCTTAGGTAGATCTGAGGGGTCCTCAAAGCCTCCAGTTTGGACAGGTGCATCTGACAAGGTAATGAGAGAATAGGAAATTACAGTTTTTACACTTCCATGTACTAACATTATTATCTACAACTTCCATTTTAGCACCCATCCCTCTTGAGCTCTCAATATTTTACTGCTACATTGTTGCACTACATTGTTATTAGGCCACTTGTGATTAAGTCATTCAGATTAGGCTTCTTTATTGTTGCTTGTATTATAAGCAATTATGCATCATCACTTTAGATAAAGGCTGACAGAATGCAATTATAATCACATAACTACTGACAGTGCACAGTACTTATCTGAGCTCAGATATGAATGATAAAACAATCTATCAGGAGGCAGTGCATAATAAGGTATTCCCTATGCAGAAAGTATAAGAGCTGACTATTTTGCAAGGAGCAAAACCAACTATGCAAACATTCTCTAGATTACAGCAGAGTGGTGTTGTTATACTACCTTAAGAGTTGAGTATGTATAAGGGTAATGATAGGCAAAGTAGCAGACATCATCCTTATGGCTGAAACTTGTGCTGAAGGTCAATGTGTAATAGGACTTTCCTTTCTGACCACCAGCTGCAATGGAACTCCTCGCAAAATGATTCCTATGGAGAAGGAAGAATATTTCATGAGTAAATGTTGCCCAATATACTGTAGCCCCCGGAACAATTACGCTTAATGGCTTATGTACAAAAGATCTGCCATAAATTATGCCTAGTTTATACAGTAATGTTCAGTTTTTGCTGACATTGAGGCCAAAATTATCACAGTGTTATACTGAACTACATTATACTACAACATATTTATAGGCTTATGCCCCTCTAATGTATGTAAACAGGGTCAACAAAAAGTGAACATTATAGGCAGTTTGTTGGGTTATCACCGGTGTGTGAATGTGTGAGTGCTTGGGTGTGAGAATGGGTGAATGGGCAAACAGTGTGAAAACGCTTTGAGTGCACTGTGATGCACAGAAAAGTGCTACGAGTACAAGACCGTTTACCATAAAATGTATAAACTACACTGCAGTGCATAAAGTATGGAAAAATTGGTTTGCTGCTTGAAAACTGTGATCCTACCCCTATGTAATTTTAACACTAGTACAAAAGGTAGATTTTTGCATTTCCCCTCAGTTTATCTCCAGGTCCACTGGATTTTAAGTGTACCTACTTGTAGTAACAGATGTCTGTTCCTGTTCGGACCCAGCAAGGCCTACCGCTGATCGCCCCCTGCACAGAGTACATAAGCACCTGCATGCCTACACGCACACACACACACACACACACACAAAAAATGACACAGAAGAGAAAGACAAACACACAAAAGCCACTGTAAGAGTATGTGCTTTCTGATGCTCAAGCTAAACAGTATCACACTGAGGCTTTTTCGCTGACACCTAACCTCATACTGTACCCTATACTACAGAATAACTGTAGGTCAAAAGGCGCTCTAAAATTCAACACAGTCTAACTTAATGCAATATTTTTAAAGATGGAATTGAATTCAATTCATACAAATCTTAATCATTCTGTAGGTCAGATGGAGAATAATGAACTGATGGGTGTTATCACACAGATGTTGTTGTGCGTCTCACCGTAGTTGAACTGGCTGTTTGACTTCTCACAATTGATGATGTTGAAGCGGTAAGTAGTTCCAACCCGCATGCCGCTCACCTCAAAGTAGAACCACTGGTGGTAGTGATTACTGTTGATGTCTGAATTCAGCACAAGGTCATACTCATATCTGAAGAAATACAAGATCAATTGTAAATGTGAACCCAGTCATCATCGACCAGTGATGTAACCTATCTTTTTATCTTAATCTAATTTCTGTAACACAAAAGTAAGATGTAAGTTATATGTAGTGAAATTTGCCCATGGTTTTAAATATTTTGTGATAAAAGCTGATTTAATTAAAACCTTACATCTCATTGTGGAACTCTTAAGGACAGTGCATATAGGCAGTATGAGACGTGTCAAAACACCGGCACTCATTATTTTCAATGAAAGCCCACACATCGGGAGTGAACTGATGCACGTCATCGCAAGCTGACACGCGTCAACTCTTCAGGACACACTATTGTCTTATTTCCTCGGTGTTGACGCATGTTGGTAGTCACGCGCTGAATTCATGCCACTCGCAGTGTGTGTAATGGGAGTCATGCGATGCACGTCGCCACCTGTATGCAGTACCCTTTACTTATTTCCTTTTAACTGATGTGACAATAAATACTTACTTCCTAACCTGAACTGCCTTCCTGAGGTTTCCAGACTCAAATTGAGAGTTGAACTTCAGTGATTCACCATCGTCTTCAATCACGGGACAGCTGCAACATGTAAAAAGACAATATTTACAAGGGATAAACATGAAGTAATGTGCCTTCTCAATATATGGATGATAAATTAAGCCAATATACTTTGGGAATGTCACAGCTCTCAACAAAATCAGAGAAAGGACAAACTGTAGTTTTGGTCTTTGGGATAGCACTTGATGAAGCACAGAGGACAAAAGTAATGGTTTTCGGTGTTTAATGTGAAGAATGTTTAGGTTAGCACACAAGAACTCACCTAGGAACATCCAAGTCATAAACAACTTTATCCAGGATATCATTAGGATGAATCAACCTCTCAATGTCCTGGAATATCTTAGACCTGCAGTGTTGGACCCACAAACAAACTCGTGGTTAATGTAAGTGAAAGTTAAATGCACAAATCTGGCTATATTAGATTCTTCTGGCATAGGAAACACTACAGTACAATACACTCATTTCCAGCTCTATTCTATTCCTTTTAGTTGTGTTAATTTCTGACACATACTTGAATGATGCTGCTAACCAATGCTAGTCAACAAACATATGATAATATCTCACCTCTGTACACCATAAACTCTCTCCAGAAGGGGTTCCCTAAATGTTGGGGCTACATGGCCAAAGTAATCTGGGTAAGCCACTTCAAGGTACTTTGGCACCGAGTGTGTTCCCTTCACCATCTCCACATAAAGGTCAGGGTCATGCAGTGGAAGAAGGAGAGCTGTGTCCGGTACCTCCAAAACTCCTCCTTCCCCTCCCTCATCCTCAGGACCCTCAGAGCCACAATCTGAACCCAAGTTACTGCCTCCTCCTCCCACACAACATGCCGTGATACCTCCCAAGAGCAGAGGAGACTGTATGTGTCTTGTGGCACTGACTGGAGAGTCTTCTTGTCGGACTCCCTTTATTCTTTCTTCTGCATTCTGAGCCAGCTCCTCTTCTAGAGAGACGCACTCTAACACATGTGCTAGTTCCTGTTCTATACTCTGTCCTTGAGGAGGAGGCCTGATGGGGGAGGACAAGGTTGTAAGTCCATCTGTGGAAGGAATGCGGTTTTCCTCTTTTTTGTCTTGGTCCTTGGTGAGGTGGATGGTGTCTAGTTCGAGTGGTGTTAGAGGAGCAGGGGGAGGAGTGGAAGCAGAAGGAGACAGCTGAGTGTGTTGTCCTTTGGTAGAGTTATATTCCTCCTGAGACCTTGCTACAGGGACATGCTTTGGTGACAGGGCTTGAGCTGTGGGCACTATGACTGGCTGAGTGCATCGATATGAGGCTGATGATGAGGAGAACAATGATGATGAAGACACTGTAGATGAACTCTTTGAATATTCAGAGTTATACACCTGCAGGAACAAGATATATCATCTCAAACCGTTTTTTTTTTTTTAGATTGACCAAACTTTGACAAGCTAGAATAGTTACTATGAGTCAGTAAGGTTTTTAGTGTTTATGTTAAAACTATATGAACATACAGCCAATTGATAAATACCCAAAAAGACAAATTATACTTAGCTTAAATTCATTTTGGTTTATATGTTTGTCTTGGTTTATTTTTGCTCTTATATTCTGTCTCCATGTGCCCAAAATACTGACCTGAAAGTCTTCAGATAGCTCCAGAAAAAACCTCTCATAGACCCTCAACTCCTCAAACGGACGGCCAGGACTTCTTTTGGGATGTAGCTTGTTTAGGTCTGTCTCTATGTCATCATTCTGATTTAAAGGAGAGAAACGGAGCACACATGTACATTTAAATGTTTAATGTTAGCCTGCACACTATGCAGGTGTACTGATGCTCAGCTGTGCTTTTCTCTTATGAGATGGAGGAAACAAGTAATACAAGAACTACAGCTAATGAGAACAAAACAGAAGTGTGAATCTTCTGTAAAGATTCCAAAATATACATATTTTTGTGCATGGCTTGCACTCGACATAGGTGGCCCAGTATTTGTGTTTGGTTTGGTGGGGGTTTCGTACTACTTGAAAAGTGCATGGGGGACAAATTCCTCTTACACTGTCGTAGGGAAGAGCAATGTTTAGATTAAATCATTAATTGGTAAATGCATATCAGAAATGGGTGACATGTTTGACAGTGAAATGAGTGTTAGGCACTGGCTGATGGGGTATGACTGCCCTCTACTGGAGATATAAAGGAGTACACCTGGACCGCATTAGTAGCTTCAAGAAAAACAAACACTTCTCTGAGAAATTCTCTCCTCACATGATACAATGTGCAGAGATTCAACACTTTGATTAAAAAAACCCAAATATTAACAACAGTACACAAATGAGTTATGTAATTGTGTAAGCTTTTAGTCAACTAGGGCCAATTACATTAACAGCGCTGTGTGAAGTTTAATCACATTGTAAGAATTCTGTAAAAATGCTGACAATGTAAATTACTCAGGTCTACACTGCACTGCCCCTATAAACTGTCCACCACTGTCACACAGAGGAAGGTAACAATCTTTTGAAAAGTTAAGTGTAACATGAAACTCAACTGAAATAGGGTGTGTACATGTCAGTGCTGAGTATTACCACAGCACGATGATCCTTCTCATCCTCCTCGTTCTCAGTATCATTCTCTGTGTCTGCCTCTGTCTCCTCGTTATCGTCACTTTCATCCACCACATCATCCGCCACATCATCCACTGGGTACAACACACACATAGAGGTTAATAGGTGACTGTCCTTTGAACTGACATACTGTACCGTTTCTTCCCCAGCTAGAAGCTCATTATTTTACAAAATGCGTGTAGGACTAGTGGATAACATAATATAAGCATAACCTGTTTTGGTCGCCGATTCTTAATACTTTGAAAAGAACCGAGAAAAGGTTAACTAAAAGATGTGAGCAGCCATGACTGAGAGATGAGTGAGAGATGTAGAAGACAAAAGAAATTCTGAATACACTGTATTTCTTCAAATACACTGTAGTGAGCTGGTGATCTCACTGACAGTCACTGTGCAGTTGCTTACAGTTATACACTGCTCTCTATGGGTGGGTTACTGGCATTACTGACAGGTTTCAGGGATTCTGATGAGTCATCACAGTATTGCACTGAGGGAGCAGCAATAAACTGGACTCCTCTTGCCAATTAGTCAAAGTTAAGGTGTATATCACAGTTTTTATGAAACTCCGATTTCATTTTAGAAAAGAAAGTGGTTCAAATATTACCAGCCTGTGGACACAATGTAGAAAGCAAATTAGTTTAGTACAGTGTAAGTACATCGGTCTATGGGTGAGCAAGCAAGCACTATGCAGTGTGCACTGAGCATCTTTATCACTAACACGTCATGTGTTGGTTTACTGAAGTTAAGAGTATGATGTGAGGTGAATGAGAAAGCAGTAGTGAGCGAATCTATGTAATCTGAGAATGGAGTTGTGTCTTACGTACGTCTTACCCTTCTTTGAGGGCTTGTTGCTGAGCTGATGACTTGTTCTTCCTGTAAGGCACATTGTGCGCAGCAGTGTCAAGAGTGTTGTCATTACCCATTTAGCTGGTCCAGGGATATAAGCATTGTTTGTGTGTGTGTCTGTGTGGCGTGAAGGATTAAATCTAGAAGCGATGACTGCAATAAAAAAAGCGTGTCTCTCTGAACTGATAATCATCAGTGAAAGCCGTGCAGATACACTATGATAAATTGGGGAACACTCTAGTTAAGTGTATGTGTTTGTGAGTGTATGTATATGTTCTCACCCCCAGGGAGCTGGCTATACAGCTGTGCCACAGGTCCTGCAGCTGGTATGTGTGGCAGCTGGTAGTGGAAGGTCGATTTCATGCTAGGCAGAGGCAGACGGTTCTTAGGAAAACACTTTCTCATGATCAGACTTGACGTGTTGACCAGAGGATCCAGAGTCCGAACTGGGAGACACTCCTACAAATTAAAGCACACAGAAAGTAGAGGTAAGTTGAGACCTAGATTGCATCTGTAAAACTCATGTGTTGTGTGCTTTAATTGCTTGCTATTTGTATGCAATATTCTCACTCACAGTGGAAGTTATGTAGAGGATTCTCATGCCATCAGCCTCTATGAATGCTTTCCTGCCAAGTTTGATGTTGGTAATGTTCCTGAGACAGACCAACAACCCTTTGCGAATCTGCATATGGCGATGCCGTGTGTCATTGCGATGCCAATCCAAGTACAGTGCAAGTAAGACAGGAACAAGACTGCCATCCACTGCACGGTGAGCATTTGTTTCTGCACAGGGAAGAGGAACAAGAAGAAAACAAGAAACTATTGATAAACACTTCACAACTGTGGGATGGAATAAAAAGAAGCATGGGAGAAGTGCAAAGAAAAACTGTGTAGATGGGGGAAGTTAGGGGTTAGGTACTGTAACTAGAAATCCAAGCTGAATGATCAATGTAAGTGTTTGCATTGGAACAGTCAAAGGGACAGATAAAGGGTTAATGATGATGGAGGTGAGAGAAGGCAGAAGGGAGCTACAGTATACTGCATGGACCCAAAGTCTGGAGGCAAATGATAAAAGCAAATTACTCACTGGATTTGAGCAGTGCTCCCAGTGCATCCAGAGCTACCCTGTTGATTTAGAAACAAATGGGTTACATGGCCTGTCCAACAAATGTCCATGACAGATGTTCAAAAACTGTCTGAAAGAGGTGAAGGAGATGGTTTGTTACAACACAGCATTCACACTGGCTCATTAACAGACACTCACTTGAGCAGACTTGTGTTCTTCTTGCTGTAAGGCACGACAATCTTGAACATGAGCTCCACTGCTCCATTCTTGCCCAAAGAAATAGCATTCACCGCTTTATATAAACAGACACAAATGACAAGATATTAGGCAAAAGCAGAAACCATCATGTATTACTGAAGAGTTAACAGTACCAATACAGGATATTTATCAGTTAGCTGAAATTCTGTACAGTTTCTTTACACTGGTCTGCTTGAACTCCAAGAGAGAAGAGTAATATTTTGAGAAGTGTATTTCAATGTGTCAGGTTACTTACAGTTGGCACAGTAAACCCTGAGAACCTGGAGGCAGGGCAGAAGCAGTTTGGTATTCTGTAGGTTCTCTTTCAGTAAGTTGACTGTGACATGCAGAGCTCCGCTCAAACGCGCCTTCACTCCAAACTTTCTGTCTGAACACAGAAGGCTGCAATGTCAGTATGCAAAAAAAGCGGTCACTAGATTTTCAGTGTTCTTGTCTCTTCTTTGCATCATACAGAGTTTTTGACCAACAGTGCTACAAAGCAATGTTTTAAGAGTTAACCCTTTTGCTTATGTCATGCACACACAAGAGGATACACATGGATGCATGTGAGCACATGGGTGGTGCAATTCACATCCTACTCCTGATTTCACTCTGTTATACTGGGTTTGTGTTGCACTGTGACACTGAGCACACCTTTTGGGCCAGCCTTGGCCAGTAGCGAGTGAAGCTGCAGCATGAGTTCTTCATTGGGAGGCAATTCTTTACTGGCAGTGATCAGAAGCTGGAATAATATTCCCGTTCCTCCTTTAGACACAAATACCCCCACCCTGCGACCTCTGCCTAAAAGAGAACACATTAATAAAACAGCCTAAATTTAATTCAGGATGAGAACCACTTCTACCAGAAGAAAGAACTGTAGGAGGTAGGAAGTCAGGACTATGTAGATGAAGCCTTGGAAAACAAAGCCTTAAAACATTGATATATTATCTACTACCACTCAACTGTTTGTGTAGAAATTTATTGTTTATGCTATCAGAATATGCTTACAACTAATTACACTCATAAAAAATATAAGTGAGGGGAGTAAATGTTGGCATCAGCCGTCAAAATCACAACCTGAACTGCTCATCAACTATGGAAAAAGCAAATAGTCAGCTCACCCACAGTCAGCAGCTCACTGAGAATGTACAGGATGTTCAGGGTGGTCTGGACATCCCAGAAGTTCTGTCAGTGTCACAGAAAGTACACTTATTGAAACAACATAGTAAATTACAGACTTTTGAGCAGTTACTTCTTTGCCTTCACAAATGCTTCATGTCATCCATCCATAATGACCCCATTCACTAAGAACAAAACAAAAATGATACTTTCAGATACATTTAAACCCTCTGAGGATAAAAGAGCAGGGGTACTATTTCACTAAGTTTTGTGCAAAGCTATCATTTAAGCAAAGCTCCAAACATGGCTATAGGATAAATAAGGACAAACAGAGGTCAGCATTTCAATCTGCATATCATCCTGAACAAGCTCCATCAGAGTGTTGATACTTGGATACTATGAAGTAAGCTTAGTTTTACAGCTTTATCATGTAGTAAGCTGCTGTATCAAGTTGTGCTGACCTTCAGAGAAGCCAGGATGACCTCCATACCACTGGAACCCTTGGACATCACCTCCTTTCCACTCTTCTCTGTAACACACAACCAAGTAAAGGTTATCATAACTGTGAAGATGTACAATACTACATTTGTGCAAAACAGTTCAGTAGCCCCTCGACTACTGAGCTTTGACACTACCCTCTTAACTGCCCAACTCAACGAGACATGAAATAGATAAGTCCTGCTACAACTCCTACTCGGCCCCTCTTTTCTTTCTCCACCTCCCCATCTCTTTAAACCATAACCAATGCTGGCTTCTAATTTAAGAGCTGACAGATTCCCAACCTCTTTGAACAGGCCACAGTGAGTGGTCCTGTCCTAAAACAAATGGAAACACAGAACTTATGACTTCTCAAAACCATCATTAACATTTACATAGGATTATTAGAAAAATATAAGCTGTTGCAATAAATACAATATTATAAAACATACTTTCATGTTGATCACTTTATATGGTACTTTTCAAAATCATATTAAAATATTAAAATCATATTAGAGTCATAAAAGCAAAAAAAAAAAAAACAATGTTAAATATAAGTAGTAACAATACAGAATTCAAAAGTGCAATTAAAATATTACTGCACTTTAACATAAAAGAAACTAAAAGTGCATTTTTAAGTAGGAAAGACAGATAGCTAATTATGATGACCAGTACACAATGCTTTTTTATTTAACTCAATACAAGCATTGGTCTTCTCTATCGATTGTAGTTATTAGTAAGCGAAGACTGGCTGCTAAAAGCAGTACGCATAAGTGTGGTAGCTATAAATGTCAGAGTGGTGGTTCTAATCTCACTTTCCATCCCCACCTGACCCATCCAAAGTGAAATATGAAACATAAGTGTCCCTTGAACTGCCATCATAAATAGCACTATTGTGAAAATCAATGCCTTTTTAAGGATTTTTAAACATTTGAGGGTGAATATAGTTTACCACAACCTGTTAAAATAGCTGAAATACTTTTTCCAGTACATTTCATCATTCTGGCCCCTACCTGCTGGGTGTGGGGAGGCAACAGCATTACAGTATCTCCTGGTATAGTGGTACTCCATTTCATAACAAAACTCTCAAAATTCTCCAAAGATTTGGCAGAAAATATGTCCTATTTTCCAAAATCCCCAGTCCACTGCCTCTGGAGTCCTAAACGTTTACAGTGCACTCTTAGGTTTGGCACACTATGGCATATGAGCTGAAGGGTGAATCTCAGCACTTCAGTGATATTTTTGTATCCCTCGTGGCTAGAACTATACTTGTCAGTCCTTTTGTCGTGTGCAGCCCCTCCCCTGCAATCGCTTTTCTTTTTTCTTATCATCCTTGTTCTTTCTCTTGGTATCTCATAATTTCACACTAAGCTCCCATGACCCACAACATGAGACAGGAATACAGAAAAGTTGAGGCTGCAGGCAGGGTGTGACAAACAGCCAAGCAGCAGATGAGAGAGGAACAGCTGATGTATCATGTTTGGCAGGGTCACAGAGGGCCTTTTCCACTGTGCCTATCAGTCATGATGGATTATAAGAAATTATGGTAGGAGAAAAGATATAAAAAAAATTATGAGAGGAGGAAAGACAAAATTGAAGAATGAGAGGAAAGGAATTCAGAGCAAGTTCAACGCTTGCCAGCAGGTTTAAAATACTTATATAATGATTCAGCAGAATTGTTCACACAAAGACTCCACTAGCATTCTACACTCAAAACATTCACACTGCAACTGCACCTAAATGAAAACCACCAGCTGCAAAGAAAACATAATATAAGAGGTACAAACAAAAATATAGCATTTACTGCTTCACATCCAAATACATGCGGTTGAAACCAGGATTTTCTCGCATCTCCGAAAATATAAGAGCAAATTTCCAAACTAGCATTACAGTGCCTTGCAAAAGTATTCATACCCCTTGAATTTTTCCACATACTTCACATTACAACCACAAACTTAAATGTATTTTATTGGGATTTTATGTGATAGACCAACACAAAGTGTCGCATAATTGTGAAGTGGAAGGAAAATAATACGTGGTGTCCCAGATGTTTTACAAATAAAAATCTGAAGAGTGTGGCGTGCATATGTATTCAGCCCCCTTGAGTCAATACTTTGTCAAAGCACCTTTCGCTGTAATTACAGCTGCAAGTCTTTTGGGGTATGTCTAGAGACATACCCCAAAAGACTTGAATGCACTTGTAATATGGAAAAATTCAAGGGGTATGAATACTTTTGCAAGCCACTGTACTTGGATAGAATGACCACATATTCTAATTTATGTGGTTACTTTCTCACCTGAAAAAAGTCAAAATTCAATAAAGTGGCATAATACCAGTGCGCGAATGAAAATTACAACAGCTTTCAGCCTGGCCCAAATCTTGGTTGGCAGGCAGTGCAATCTGGAATCAAGATGGCTCGGGCCCAGCTATCACTGAACTCCATCACAGCATATGTGCATAAAGTTGAGCTTTCCCCAACACTGGGCCTGGGTCTTCTGGGTCTTCTCTCGTCTATGTCTCGCACAGCAGGGTGTACTGAGCGTCAGCACTCGGTTTCCATTGACAATGAATGAGTAGCTGTCACTAGTCCAGGGCATTACCACCATATGTGTAACATACCGAAAATTTGAATCAAGCTCTGTTGTGGCTAATGTAGACACTATGTTTCAGCAAAGAAAGAAAATGTGTGAAATTAAAAACAAAAAAACTCTTGTTCTGCAGCATTTTAATACTTTTGTCAAGTGTCCATTGTGAATGCAACAATATTCTAAGACTGCAATAATAAATCAGTGGACTACTCTTAGATCTACATGCACTATCTGTGCCTTTTGGGGTGTGTCCTTAATGCTAGGTAGGTTGGCCAGTATCAACCTGAACCTATCATTGCTCTGACCTGGTACTGTGAAGAGTATACAGTGTGGGTCACATCATATTTATTGGCAATGTGTGCCTGGTTGTGTCAACTGCATTATATATTGCATATTTAATAAACAGAAATGGTTTAATTCTTTACACTGTAGCCCAACTTACTGATTTGTAAATTAATGTTACTAAAATACTTTTTTTTTTTTATTACATATAACAATGCAAGAATAGTATGCAGGTGTGAGGCACTGCCAACAATGCAACACAAAGCTAATGGTGTACTTCATTACAGTAGCAAATATCAAGAGGTGACAGCACTGACCACTGTTGAAATAATCACAGTGAATCTAAAGATATCACCTTTGATCAGCTATTATTTCTTGGTCTCTGAATAAATAAAGTAATAAATGGAAAATACTGGATTCTGACTGATCTATTGCAGAGATTGAATACAGATGACTGCAAGTTATATTTGTATGTGTGTCTGCTCTCACCCTGTGTCTGTATGAGATGAAGTATCTTTGCAGTGACCTGCCGTGCTGTTTCAGCATCCTTCACCGTGGCCTCTCCATTAATCCTCTCCAGTTGAGCCAAGAGCATCAGTACCTTGGAGTTACTGGGAACACTGAAAATACACACACAAACCTTTCTGTGTTTAGGAAGAATGTAACAGCATAACTTAATGTCTTTGAAGAAATAAGGGGCTGCGGAATTGCATATTCAAGTTTATCTGGAAAGATCGGAAATCAGCAAAACCAATATGCACAGCATAATGAGTCGTGATACTGCATTTACAACAGGGAGATATTATAATACATGGGCATGGGCAAAAAGAAATATCTGTCATGATTTCCTGCTCCATGCGTAAGATTATACTGTAAGAGAAGGATGGACCCATTGAATCAGTCGGTTATAGTAGCGACCGTTAGGTGACGCTGGAGATAAACAATAAATATAAACAGCCCCCCCCCCGCAATATGCACTCATATATACAGAAAGAATCAAAAACCAACAAAATTAAACTATAGATCAGTAATATATGCTTAAATACCGCTTCAGTCTGAGTTTAAGAACTCAATTCATTGCTCAATTCACTTTAATAAAGCTGACTGTTGAGGCGCTAGGAGACTGCCTCACTATTTCTGGAATACTGGCCCATCCTCCTCTTATCTTAGTTCAGTGGTACTCAGCTGGAAACACAAGGCTAGAGGTCAGCTGTTGGTGCAGCAACGGCAACAAACATGAGAGAGGGAATCAAAACTCTGTGACTGTAACCCTGTAGAGTTTCTCATGTCCTTATTAAGAGAGAGAGGGAGATGGAAGCAGAGAGAGTCTATGTTGGTGAGAGACAAAAGAAAAAAACTGATCGATACTGTTGCTTTTAGTCATGGCAAATGCATATTGCTAGTTCTAGCTACAGTAGGTCATGTAATTATCTGCACACAGTGGTCTGTTTGTACATAATTACACAGCACACACACTCTCTCACACACACACACACACACACACACTGTGCAACAAGCTGACAAACAGCAGGGACAGACACCGATATAAATGGAGTTAACAGTAACATAGGACATGGCTGAATCCCATCAGAGAGAAGGAAAAGGTAGCCAGACAGAAAGAGAGAATATGTGAACACATGGTTGTCAGACAGAAGACTTCACAAACCCATGCACACATGACAGCCTTATGTGTTTGTGCATGCTCATAAATGTGCATTTATTTGCTTTGGAATATCAAAGTAACTCACCCTTTCTCTGTGGTCATTTTAGGTTTGTTCATTTTTGCCAAATCAACATTTCACGTCATCTGCAAGAGAAAGAAAATAAAGACCTCACTGGCCGAAAAGGACACATGTAAACAATATGTATATTATACAAATGAGTGAAATCATCCTCTGCTCTGTGTACACAAAATAGATTCCACTGAACTCTCTCGCTGCTGTAATCTCAGAGCCAAATAACAATAAATCTAAACTGCCCACAGCTGTGAATGTGTTGGTGTTAACTCTGTAGCAAACTGTATAGCGTATCGGTCTAGCAGAGAGTGCTGGGGCAAGTTGCAGCTCATACTGACTCTGGACAGAACTCCTATACACAGTACTGCCTGACTGAATTTACACTAAACAAAAGGGGCTGCATACATGCTGCAGATCTCAGCTGTCTAGAGACAAAGGGACTCTAGACGATGTAATTTGAATGCAAGGTTTGAAAAACTCATGACTAGCTGTATCACTTTATATCAAACAATCAGTCAAAGGTTCCAAAAGATTCCAAAAAAGGTAAGAAGGATTTACAACCACAGTTTGGTGCCCTGCATTCTCCCAAGAGTTTTAGATTAGGTCAGACTAATACTAACATTCATGGTTTGTGATACAGTGAGTCATAAACAAAGCTGCAGGAAAATATACAAAAACCAGTCAACACTACCAGTGCCAGATAAAGACAGACTTGTTTAATACATGAGACTTCTATCAAGGCCTAATGTGCTTAAAGCTACAATACGCAACTTTTTTCAAATATTTTTTGTTGTAGAAATATGCTCTATAACTCGTCTTTTTTGCCTTCTCCAAAGTGTTTCTGTAGGCTCTTCTGTGCACTGTTTGTGCACAAAGTGCTTTCAATGCGCGAGTGACAAGAAATGAATGAGAGCTTCCCTCAAGGCGCAAGCAAGACGCTACACCCAGCACACGCTACGCTTTTGGTCGTTGCCACTGCATGTGCAATGTGGCCAGTCGTGCCTCTAAATCTGATCAGCATATAATCGGAAATCTCGATTGACCTGTGACCGGCAGATCACACTGAAAACAGGCCATTTCCAATCTCTGCCAATTGACTGGTACATCTCGAGTGGGACTGGCCTTTCTAACCAATCAGATTTTCAGTTATTTCTGTTTGACCATTAAGTTTTGCTGCATTGCTTTTCTTGCAATTTCACAACAACAAATATCTGAAGACCTGGCAGAGCGTGGTGGAGAGTAGCAGATCCTAGAAGAGCATAGTGGAGCAGGGAGAGAGAGTGCTGGGAGGAGCACAGGGGATTGATTTGGACTTTCATGCTACCCTACCTAAAGTTACATACTGTACCTTTAAAAAGTTAGTAATATGCTACAAACATCTAACCAATAAAATACAAAAGCCAGAAACAGTACTGTGCAGGGAAATATGTTGAATATAACTTTTAATTTAAAATAACTTAACTAAGTTGGCAAACCTTCACAGCTTGGCTTTTCCAAAGCTTGCAAACTCAGACTACAATAGCCCATAAACCTTACCCTTCTGACTACAGAGAAATACAAGCAGATGACAGAAGCATCTAAGCTCACGCCTTAGCATATAAGGATTGAGAAGTAGCGCCGATCTAGTTAGAGGTCAGATGATAAAGAGCCTTGTATGTTATGGGTGGGGGGGTGCAACTTAACAGAGGACAGATAGTAGCCTGGTCACAATAACCTTAGGACTGCCTTCTTCCATAAACAAGAATTCAAACGCTGTCATAACACCAACCCACAGGATTGTCATAGTCGTTAGTCTATTATTAGTAAAATAAATAGTAAATCAGATAACCTACAGTAGCCGAGGCTGGTGGCTGCTGCACCTGCTGGGCTAGTCACTAGTTAACGGTCGCATGTCTGCGCCAGACGCTAGCTAACCGTAGAGTAAAATTACGCTAACACTAATGCTAAATAAAAACGCACAGGCAACGTTAGCTAAAGCAACAGGCATGTAACAAGAACGACGAGTTTGCAAACCTGTATAGAAAACAAACTGTTGTCCTGTTCGGGGTAGAGCGATTCCAGGATATATGGGGTTGCTACTATGCGTGAACGTTGCCTGCAACGCCTTGATGATGTTGTGATGAGACAAACTCGACCATCCCCGACTGTCACGGAATGTTAGTGAGTGAACAACGCGAGAGTACATTTCGTGTGTAGTTACAGGCGCACTTAGTACGAAGACAGAAAGCTCCAGAATTAGCAATGTATATCACAGCCGCCAGCATAATATTACTTCAAAATAGATGAGATTTTAAGATAAAGTTAAACGATTCACTGGGAGATTATGCTCCATCATGACACAAAAGGACTACATTTCCCAGGCTGATCGGGTCAGTGACGTCAATTTTATGCGTCAATCTTACAGCTTTCGAGGCGACTTCTATTAGCTAGGTTCATGGTTAATAGGAAATACTAAGGTACGTGCTAATTTACAACAAAAATACGGCTTTGTAGTGACAGTATTTGTGTTTTATATAGGTGAATAAATTGAATAATCAGTTCAACTGACAGTATTCAGGCTTTATTCACAGGAAACATCCACTGTGGACAACATGCTAGTATGACGTTGGTGATAGTTAGCAAACATATAGTTAATGTATTGTATCTCATTTTTTAATATCTTGTATCACTACGATGCCATGAACTGCATCCTGTTCTCAGTGTTTGTGTAACGTTTTGTAGGCTTGTCTAGACAGTAAAAATGTAGAGTAATTTATTGCACTGGTGTTGATTAAAATATTTAAATAGCTAGCGTTAAATAAGGAAACATTGGTACACTTTTGTGTATTTGTTTTTCTCTCAGTGAGACGCTTGTTACCGGTCAACTTGCTTGTTATTTAATGTTTGCAATGGTATGAGTCACTTTATAAATTCATAAGACGTTCACAGGTCTTTGTAGCCCAGGCTTAAGATAGTGTCATCGGGTTGTTATTTGTATCATATATGAAATATGTGTTTGAATAAGAAACCGTTTTAATCAATCACAAAAATGGCTGGATTAAATGCATGTTTGCCATCTTTACTCTGCTCAACTCAACTCAACTCAACTCAACTTTATTTATATAGCGCTTTACCACAGCCACAGCTGACCAAAGTGCTTAACATACCGTACAAGTCTAAAATCGTAACAGCATAACTAAAAATAAAAACAATAACAGTTGTGCTGTTGTTTGTGCTGGATTACTGCATGACCTACTGTCCGTCACCTGTACAGTTCCTACTGTAGTGAGGCACATTGTTTGCTGTAAGAAAGGTCTTTAGTCTGCCTCATTTATTGAAAACCATCTCATGACATGACCTCTTTTGCAGTTATCTCAAATCCTATCATGTCACAGAATGCCACAAAATATTTATAAAATGTTTGTAATGGCTAAAGATTTGTAATATTCTAAACACTTTGTTTTTAGTAGTCACCATGGTGATGAAGTCAGCAGTTGAGGATGATGATGCTGGCTGGGGGCTAGGCATACCAGAAAAGATGAAGAACAGTGCCAACTGGGTTGATATTACATGTGAATTCAAGAATGCATGTAAAGGTAAAGGCACTGTTATTAAATGTGTGTGTGGTTTATACAGCATACGTGCAGGTAAGAAAGGGGCTGATGTGTTTCTCTTTTGCTCTTTCTTTGTCCTCATCCTTTATTTATGCAGAGTTGGATCTTGGAGAATTGCTTCATGACAAACTGTGAGTATAATCCTGACAAAATGCTTTTTACAGGCTCACACTTTAAATTGTCAGTCCACTCAAATTGAATGTACCGCTTAGTAATTTGCTTACTCCCTCTACTTAATTGATTACCACTGTTTCAGTGGAGTTTTTATGTCCCAAAATTTAAGTAGTGGTTCAGTGACTTTATTGAAGTAACAAATAAAAAGTAATTGTGGTGATACACAGAATCCTTGTAGTTTTTGGCATAGATATGTTTGGTTATGGTCATAGTGGTATCTGCATCAGTCCTAAAATTGTCAGCACAGATTCATTGGACCTTGTAAACACACATATACAAAACAGACTTTGAACTTTCTGCTGTGTTGGCAGGTTTGGCCTGTTTGAGGCCATGTCAGCCATAGAGATGATGGATCCTAAGATGGATGCAGGAATGATTGGAAACCAGGTCAATAGAAAAGTCCTCAACTTTGAACAAGCTATCAAGGTACAGTACTGCTGTCTAATGCAAGAAGCAGATTATCAGGAAGTAATATACAAAGCCTAATTTTTCTGCTGCACAACTAAACATTATTGCCACATTAACTTCTTCAGTTATTTTTATTTTTTTAAATCTTAGAAGTAATTTCACCCACCCAGTTGTATTATTGTCTTATTTTTATTATAGGAAGGTGCCATCAAGGTGAAAGACCTTAGTCTTCCTGAACTCATTGGGATCATAGACACATGTTTCTGTTGTTTGGTGAGTTTCACTTCCTTAAACAATAAAGCACCTATTTCAGCCAGTATGTCAGGAAGGGTTGGAGGTTTGATTTTGAATCAACCATGAAGAACGGGCAAAATTATTGTCACAGTAACTCCCCTCCACAGAGATGTCAAGGTTAATCAGTCCTGGAAAGTCGGCACGTTGTCTAGATATTGAATCAATGAGGCCCAGGGGGAAACTCTGTATTCTTGTATGTACATTTCTGTTTACTTACTGTATATCTGCGTTTGTCTAGATCACATGGCTAGAGGGCCACTCCCTGGCGCAAACTGTCTTTACCTGTCTGTACGTCCATAACCCAGACCTGATTGAAGAACCGGCTCTAAAAGCCTTTACTCTGGGTATCCTGAAGGTGTGTGACATCGCTCGAGAGAAAGTCAACAAGGCTGCGGTGTTCGAGGAGGTAAGGAACTTTCTATAGGCTCTGACAGCATGTGTTCATCTGTCACACTGCACTAGTCAAGTCTGAAAAGAGACCTCCTCTATAGAAATCCTCCTCTAGAGAAATCCTCTATTACACAGGGATCACAGCAAACTGCTGTTATTGTTACCCTTCTTCAATGTGGCTTTTTTGAGTAAGCCCCTTTTACCCTGGACTTTAAGAAGCTGGCAAACTGCTGCTCCTGTGTTTCTTTTGCATAGCTGCCGGAGTCCTGGTACTAGAGGCGTGACATCCATGACATCCATGTACTTAGCGGGCAATTTGAAAATTAAACAAAAGGGCTGTTATCTGATTTTTTTTTTTCACATATTTATAAATGAAAATCAGGAATTATAGTAAACTACTATACATGCATCCAGTTTCAGGTCTGTGTATCTGTTTGAGGGCACCTCAGAACAGACAGAAGCATGTGTTTTAGCTGCATTTACACAAAGTCCTTCCCACAAGGTTGTGCAGAGGTGTAGCTGTGTTTATTTGTGCTTTAGAACATAACCACAGTGAAACAATCCCAAAATAATATTTCACTTTGTTCTTGCTGATGATTATGGTCATACTGGTATCTGCATCAGCTCTTGCATCAGTCCTAAAATTGTCAGCGCTGCTGTCAGACTTTAAAATCCAAGATTCATTGGACCTTGTAAACACACATATACAAAACAGACTTTGAACTTTCTGCTGTGTTGGCAGGTTTTGCCCGGTTTA